TACGGACATTCCTCCTTCTGAGCTGGTTTTGAACTATGATTCTTTTTTTTTTTTTTTAATTCAGTCATGGGGCTTGAACTCTGGGCCTGGGCACTGTCCCTCAGCTCTTCAGCTCAAGGCTAGTGCTCTACCACTTGAGCCACAGCGCCACTTACTACTTTTTTGTTTATGTGGTACTAGGGCTTCATGCATGCTAGGCAAGCACTCTACCACTAAGCCACCTTCCCAGCCTGTAAAGAAACATTTTAAGGGGGAGGGGGGAGGGAACAAAGGAGGAGGCAACAATGCTTGATAAGAAATGTACTAATTACCTTGCCCATGTAATTGTAACCCCTCTGTACGGTATTTTCACAAAAAAATTAAAAAAAAAACATTTTAAAAGCTTTCATTTGGGGCTAGAAATGTGTCTCGGCAGTGGAGTGTTTGCCTCGCATGCATGAGGCCCTGGGTTCAATTCCTCAGCACCACATAAACAGAAAAGGCTAGAAGTGGCACTGTCACTTGAGTGGTAGAGTGCTAGCCTTGAGCTGAAGAGCTGAGGGACAGCACCCAGGCCCAGAGTTCAGGCTCCAGGAACACACACACAGACACACACTTCGCATTTCATGAATTAGCTTTTCTTTTTTCTTTTCCTTTTCTTTTCAATTTCTTTTCTTTTTTTGATGGTCTTGGGGCCTGAACTCTGGGCCTAGGTGCTGTCCCTCAGCTCTTCAGCTCAAGGCTAGCTCTCTACCACTTGAGCTACAGTGCCACTATCATGGTTTTCTGATGGTTAATTGGAAATAAGGGTCTCTTAGGGACTGGGAAGATGGCTTAGGTAGAGTGCTTGCCTTGCATTCATGAGGCCCTGGGTTGGATTCCTCAGCACCACATACCAGAAAAAGCCGGAAGTGTCACCGTGGCTAAAGTGGTAGAGTGCTATCCTTGAGCTGAAAAGCTGAGGGACAGCGCCCAGGCCCAGAGTTAGGCCCCACAACTGACAAGAAAAAACAACAACAAAAAAGGTAATGTATACAAGGAGCCCAACATTATGTTACATTTTGGAACATGTTAAAATGTTCTTCCCTGGACCACTTTTCCTTTCTCTGAAAAAATCTTGGAGCAATCTTTCTGCCCTCAGAACCACTGGGTATCTGGATATTCTTTCTGGATCTTGTAGTTTCCACTTTAAATTCACTCAGGTTTTTGTTAGAATGTCTAAATGATATGCAAAGTTAGGTGACAGAAATTATAATAGAGAATTTCTGTGTTTAAATGTCTTACCTTTGATTGAAACAGTACTTACATATCAGAAGTCATGTGACACTTTGGGGACCATCAAGAAGCACTTTTTTTTGGAGGGGGTTGGTCGTGGGGCTTGAACTCTGGGCTTGAGCACTGTCCCTGCGCTCTTTAGCTCAAGGAGAGTGCTCTACTGCTTGAGCCACAATGCCACTTCCTGTTTTCTGCCTGGGGTGGCTTTGAATCGAGATCCTCAAATCTCAGCCTCCTGAGTAGTGAGGATAACAGGCGTGAGCCACTGGCGCTCGGCAAGAAGCACTTTTTTTGGTCACTCGTGAGGCTTGAACTCTGAGCCTGGGCGCTGTCCCTTAGCTCTTCAGTTCAAGGCTAGTGCTGTACCACTTGAACACCACAGCGCCTCTTCTGGTTTTCTGGTGGTTTTTTGAGATGAGAGTCTCACGGACTTTCCTTTCTTCTGGGCTGTGTTTGAATCTCAGTCCTCAGATCTCAGCCTCCTAAGTAGCTAGGATTACAGGTGTGAGTCACTGGCATCTGGCAAGTAGCACGTTTGATTTTTTTTTAATTATTCACGCTGAAAATAAATGCATTCGTGGTAGTATATAAGATGCAATTATGTTGGGCGCCGGTGGCTCACACCTATAATCCTAGCTACTCAGGAGGCTGAGACTGAGGATCACAGTTCAAAGCCAGCCCAGGCAGTAAAGTCCATGAGACTTTATCTCCATTAAAGCACTAGAAAACCGGAAGTGGCTCTGTGGCTCAAATGGTAGAGCGCTCACCTTGAGGTGAAGAGCTGAGGACAGCGCCCAAGCCCTGAGTTCAAGTCCCACGACCTACAAAAAAAAAAAGATGCAATTATATTTTGGAGAAAAATAACTACAGACTTCTCATAAGGATACTTGTATATATAAGTTGTTTCAAAGAAGTCAATGAGAAAAGTTAAAATTGAGAGAACCCTTGTTTTTCCTCCCTAGAAAAATGGGTGAAAATCCATATGGTGGTAGAATGTGTTCTGAGATTATAGTTGGAATATCTCAACCTAAAATATGCTTGCATGTTATCTGTTTACCTTGTAGTTTTTATTTTTCTCTTAGCTTAATTCTGATCATCAGCTCATTGTGTTTTTTCCTGGAATGCTTTATATTCTCCCTTATATTCTGAGGGTTTTTCTTAATTTTCTTTTTTTGGTGCCGGTCCTTGGGCTTGCACTCAGGCCTTTTTTTTTTTTTTTTTTTTTTTTTGCTCAAAGCAAGCCCTCTACCACTTGAGCCACAACACTACTTCTGTTTTCTAGTGGTTAATTAGAGATGAGTCTCACAGACTTTCCTGCCCAGGCTGGCTTTGAACCTCGATCCTCAGATCCTCAGATCTCAGCCTCCTGAATAGCTAGGATTACAGGCATGCGCCACTGGCGCCCGGTTTATGAGCTTTTGTGCTTAAAGGCTAGCAGCCCCACTTCTGGCTTATTTGGTAGTTTACTTTTCTGTCCTGCTTTGAACTGCAGTTCTTAGATCGTTAGCCTCCAGAGTAGCTAGGATTGATTACAGGCATGAACCACCAGCATTCAGCCTGAAATTTTTATTTTTGGGTCCTGTCATGGGGCCTGAACTCTGGGCCTAGGCGCTGTCCCTCAGCTCTTCAGCTCAAGGCTAGTGCCCTACCACTT